ATGGCCGGGGCCGTGACGTCTCCCCGCGTTTCATAGCCGCCGTTTCTTCTTTCAGTGGGTCCCCCCGCCCCCCCTCGTCCGCGGGCGTGCCTTGGGCCGTGCTTTGCGACCCCCCCTTCTTGGACGCACCTCTCGAGTAGACGCCCCGAATCCCCCCCCCCCTCGTCATCCAGGCTAGCCCTGTCCCCCTCCTCTCCTCCTCCTTTCCTCCTCCGACCGCCTCATCCCAAGAAACGGGTTTGGGTGCCCCTTCAGCCTGTGGCGAGCTTGGCAATCCTCTTCCTCCTTCTCCTCCTCCTCCTCCTTGTTTTTTCTACCTCCTTCTCCTCCTCTTCCTCCTCCTCCTCCTCCTCCTTCTCCTCCTCTTCCCCCGTCTTCTCCTCCTCCTCCTCTTTTTCTTCGCCTTCTCCTCCTCCTCCTCCTCCTCCTTGTCCTCCTCCTCCTCCTCCTCCTCTTCCTCCCCCTTCAAGGCTGGACTGTCCGCCGGCCTGTCTGCCTGCCGCCAGGGGAGTCCTTCTCGCAGAGGGATGACTCTCTTCTCTTCTCGATCGTGGCCGCCTGCGTTCGCCCTCCTCTCTCCCTCGGAGTGCTGCCTCGTCCGCCTCTTCCTCCCCCGACGCCCCCCCCCCGCCAGCCAGGCTCGCCCTCGTCGAGATGGTGGGGGTCGCCTTCTCCTCCTCCCCCCACCCCCCTTCCGCGCCATCCAGGCTCGCTCTCGGCGATATGGTGGCGGTCGCCTTCGGCGACGCCCCCGCCGGCCTGGGCGCCCTGCAGCCCGGCCCGCGGGCGGCCGAGTCGCCGGCCCTGACGCCGTCGGCCAGCGCAGCAGGGCTGTCGGGGGCAGCAACTCAGCTCGGCCAGGAGCAGTTCGTGATGGGCCCGTTTTCCAAGAGCACTACCATAGGTTAGAGGGGCAGGGAATGAGGTGGAAGGGGAGGAGGAAGAAGAAGGAGGGGAGGAGGAAGAGAAGGAGGAGGAGAAGGAGAAGGAGGAGGAGGAGGACCCCCCTCCCCCCTCCTACTTCTGGTAGTGGCAGTGGAAAACAGGCCCATGAGTTCGGGCCAGGCGGAGCCAGGGCCAATCTCAATCCGTTCGGTCCGACTGAATGTCGATCCCGGCCTGCCCGATCCGATTCGATGCAGACACGCCAGCGATCCGATGCGGCCCGTTGCATGCATGGCGCCGCTTTCAGGGGAACGAGGAATGACAGAAATAAAAAGACTCAGAGTTCCGCGCGGATATCTCGGATCCGCGCTGGACCCCCCCTGGCGGCGCCTCCGGCGCCGCCCCTTGCACGCTCCGCGCGCCAAGGGGGTCCAGCGCCGATCCGAAAATTCCGCGCTGAACTCAGAGTTTTGTATGTTTATTTCATTCCTCGTTCCCCTAGCTGTGCATCCTGGCGCAGGCGATCCGATTCGATTCCGATCCCGTGCCGATGCAGCCCGCTCCCATGCACCTTTCGATCGAATCCGAGTTGGACCCAGTCGATGTGCTGAATCTGTCCTGGACGGACTTCGGTCCGGGCCGAGTTCGGCCTGGCCGAGCTTCGCCTGGCTCAGGAGCGAAAGAAGGACGTACACGTACATGAATCCACGCTGTTTTCGAGATCTCGCATTCGGCGAAGATCCGTATCACGCGGCCGGGGTCTCGCGGCCCAAGGGGCCGCGTTCCTGTACATAGCTGGGCGCGTGCGTCCTGTGTGGGCTCCCTGCTGGCCGAGCTCTGCCTTGGCCGAGGCTCGCCCGGCCGAGTGTTCTGCCTTTTGTCGGGGGGGGGGGGGGGGGGGGCAGATCTCGGGGCCCCCGGCACCGGGGGGGTCGGCGCGCCGCACGCGTGGTCGGCCAGTCCCCTCCGGCTGACCCGGGTCTGGGGGCCACGCGGGGCTGATTTCTAGGCAGGCTCATCTCTATACAGGAGGTGTATATATTCAGCAACAGTTTCAAAATAGCCAGGGAACGTTTTTATACATATATATATATACATATACATATATATAAAACCCAAAAATGGTATGAAAAAAGATCAGTTCTAAAACCAACTATGCTTGAACATTTGTGGCGCATCGTTTCCTTCCAAAATCCCGCCTGTGGGGGGAACACGCCCGACCCAAGGCTGATTCCACCTTCCGCCCTCCGATGTTCCACATTCTGGAACTTCAAAGCGGCCAGGCTTCGAGACAGGGCCTTGGCCGCCCCGGGATCGTGCCGGAGGACGCGAGGAGGCGGACAGCCCGCGGGCAGGCGTTGCACTTCTCGGGCCCCGCCAAGAGCAACAGTGTCTCGGGCGCCAGAGTGGGCGGGGGGGGCTTGGAATTTGAACAGGCGCGCGGCGCAAGTCTCGGATTGACGCGGAGATGGCGCATCGAATGTCGCGGCAGCGACGGCGCTGACCAGATGCGGCGGCGATCGGCATTAACCCGGTATCATGTTTGACGCACGCTGCCCTTGGTCGCGGTGCCCGCTGCGGCACGGAAGTGGGGGCGTTCAGTGCCGCGAGCGCAGTGTCGCGCTCTGCGGGTAGCGCGGCGCCAAGGGATCGCAGCCGGGGGCGGTGGGGCAGCGCGGCTTCTTTCCATCGGTGTGCTGCTGGAAGGCAGGCGACGCCCGAGCGGCCGCGGGGGCTCCTTGTCCGGGCGGCCCGCGCGTGTGGCGGGGCGCAGCGGTGGCAGGAACGCCGCGGGCGCAGCAGAAACGAACCCATGGATTCAGTTTCGCTTGCGTGTATCTGTCTTCGGTGATTTCTAGAAGGCTTGTATTCTGGTTTTCTCGGTTCATGTACACATGATTGATTACATGTCTTCAGTCTGCATAACATGGAGTCAGTGTCCGCAGCATGTATCCGCGCAGTGTTTTTTTTTGGGGGGGGGGGGGGGCAAACGCGCCTCCGTGGTCCGCTGGCGGCGTGCCCTGCGATTGCGATGTTGCCGCGATATCTTTCGCATTGTGTAAAAGGGGGAAGATGCCGCCGAGGCTCTGCCGCCCCTGGCCAAAACCCCCCGCCGCCGCAAGCTTTCGCACGACTGGCCACTCCGCGCCGCAGCGCGTGCCCATAGTATCTCTTTTTCCGGCGACTGGCATCCTGGCCAGGGGGTTGGCGTCAGCGGTGGAGCCAGGCTCGCACCGCGCGCCGATGCGTCCGGTCAGAACCGATGCCGCCGCGGCATGCGCTGCGCCATCTCCGCTCCAATCTGAACTTGCGCCTCGCGCCTGGTCAAGTCCTTTCCCCCCCGCTTCCGGCGCCCGAAGCACTGCTGCTACTGCCGAGCCCCGAGGAGTATAACGCCCGCCCCTGGCCTGTCCACCCTCCTCGTCTTCTCCGACGGTGCGCACCCGGGCTGGGGTGCGCCCCCGGGGCTCCCGATGCCGTTGTTCGTCCTGGACGGCCCTCGCCACCAGGGCGGACTCCACCCGGAATTCATGTGGGCAGGACATTTGGGCGTTGCGTAATGGGGGGGTCATAAATGGGGGGGTGGCGCGGGTGGTCCGAAAAGGTACCCAAACGGTACCTAAACGAGCCCCCTGGGGGTCCGGAGGGGCCCGAAAGGGGCACGAAAGGGGACCGTTTCTGACCCCCCCATTTATGACCCCCCCACGAAGCCACGCCCAAGACATGTGTTTGGGATGGGGGGGGCTCATCGCGACGGTTGGCTTCTCCGTGGAAATCTTCAGCAGGGCGCGCCCCCCAAGAGGGGGCCGGAGGGCTGGCGGAACGGGTTCTTTTTTCAGGCGATCGCAAACATGGATCGAGGGGGCGTGAATTAACGACGGGTCTCGTTTCCGTGGGAAATCACGGATTTCAGCCGCCGAGGGAGGTGGCACTGGGGGCATTTTGGGGAGGGCACCTCCCCCGATCCAGGGATTTGGCGACTGCGCGCCAAATCCCTGGATCGCTAAAACATGTTTGCGCGCCCCCGTTTTTTTGCTTCCCCAGGTTGGGCGGCAAGCAACGGCGGACTTTCTTCGGCTACGCCGAGAACCAGGGCGACGACGAGCCGGACCTCGGCGCACTCCTGCCTGCTAAGGTCGTCTTCCTCCTCCTCTTCCTCCTCCTTTTCCTCCTCCTCTTCCTCCTCCTCGTCTTTCGTAGCCACTACGGCTCAAGCCGCTTGCTGTTCGTTTGCACTTCCGCTCGCGCTGCCCCTGCATGCCGTTGGTTGCGATGTCCGCCGCTGGTCCTCTGGCTGAGTGTGGCGAATTTGATCCTGCGTGGGCGCAGTCTCGAGCAACGCGGAACCCATCGTCTTCGCGCTGCCGATAAAAGGCATTATGCAAGTTCGTCCTGCTGGAAGCCGCCATGTGGCGGTTCCGCCTGCGGGGGCCAAGAATGCTCGCCAAGCCGTTCGCGGTCTGCAGCCGCATCAGGAATTGCGACAGTTGTTTGGCCACCGGCCTCACATGCTGCGCGTGGCAGTTTTCGCCGCCAGGGATCCGTTGAGCGACGCTGACCTGTTGCAAGCGAAGCCGCGGCACGGCAAAGCCAAGCACCGCATCCCTTCTCAAATTGCTGGAATTGCAGCACGTCGTTCCTTCCTCGAATGACCCTCTGCTAGTCTGCCGCCGCTCCTGTTCGGCCGCCTCCTCGAGAGGCGCTTGATCTGGAGGAGCTTACCCCATCCTACACGTGCTTGTGCTTGTCGCCGCCATTGCATGACCAGATCGTCCTCTTGCCTGTGTTACTTCCGCTGGCATCCTTTGATTGGATCAGGACCTTGCCGGGGATCGGGACGGTACTCGGCAGCTGGTGCCTGCATGGGCTCAGGCTCCGCGGATGGCAGTGCTACTCCTCTGGATGCTGTCCACGAGCCGCATGTTGCCGGTGATAGCCTTGGCCGTCTCGCTCGTCGTGGTACGGGCTGTGCTCTTCCAGAAGCTACGTTCGATCCTCACCGCGGCTGTGGCGTGGTTCGTGCCGATGGCGATCGCTCTCTGCTTGTAGGTGGCGTGGCTCGGGGCAATGGCGCACCTCTGGGACCTCAAGATGGATAAGTTGGTGAGCCGCTGCTGACGAGCATATTTGGCTCAGTCAAATATGCAATGAGTTTGTTGATGTTCCCGGGCGCGCTGGTGTTCGCTTCTTCGGCCTCCTCGGGCCCTGCTTCGTTGAGTCCCCCGGCGTCTCCACCATCATCGAGACTTCTTTCGGCTTCGGCGGCGATCTCACACGGCCCTCAACGTGAGGCAACACGGCGTGAGGTTCTTCCTCCTGACGCTGGAGGCAGTGGTGCGCACCTTCGCGAACAGGTTGTGCCTGGGCCCCCTCGCTTTCAGTATTGTGATATACGGCCGCTTCGCTGCTGCGGCAAGGCCCTCTCTGTGCATGTCTACCTCCTGTACATGGGCGGGAGCACCAACTTGATAGGCGACATGTCCGCCGACTCCTTCGACACCCAGCCGTCCACCCTCGAAGTGTACGGCTCGACCTATGACGCCACCGCCCTCGAGGACGGCCACCTGTTGGCGTTCGCCGCGGTCTTTCTTGACGGCTCCGACGACCGTGTAGGCGTTCTCGACGGTTCCGCAGGGTACCTGGACAGCCATAACTACGATAAGTGCTTCTTTGGTTCCGTCGACGGTGCCGACCGCCTGGACACCCTCAACGCGGGCCTGAGAGGCCCGGCGCAGGCGCGGCAGGATCCGTAGGCGGAGAGAGACTCTCGCCTTGGGACGTTCGCTCCTCCTCCTCCTCCTCCTCCTCCTCCTCCTTTTCTTCCTCCTCCCTCCACATGATCTTCTCCATTCATCCTTAGTATTGCACACTGCTTATCCAGCTCCGTCTGTCCTCGTCTTCCTGATCCTCCTCTTGCTGCTCATCCTCCTCGCACCTGTGGCTTGCTGTTTCCTCCTCCCCTTCTTTCTTCCTTCCTCCTTCACCGTTCCCATCGCCTTCCGTCGTCCATCCTCATCTCTGGCATCATCATCATCATCATCATCATCATCATCATCATCATCATCATCATCATCATCATCAGCATCATCATCATCATCAGCATGTCCCTCATCATCCTGGACTTCCCTCCTTTTTTCATGCGTTAAGTTATCTCCCCATCTCTTCGTCGTTCACGACCACCTCCCTTTTCCATCCAGTGTGGGTGGCGGAAGGATGCGGAGATCGGGAGGAGGTGGAGGAGGAAGAGGAGGAATATCTGGAGAAGGATATGGAGGATGAGGCGGAGGGGGATATGGAAGTGGGGGAGAAGGCTTGGAGGAGAGGTGAGCAGGAGGATGAGGAGACGGGGGTGGGAGAGACGGTGGACGGAGGCCGAGGATGAGGCGGGAAGAAAGTGGAGGAGAGGGACCCGGAGGAGCAGGACGTCGGTATCCTAGCCTTGGGTCCTAGCTCTCGTCCTTTACTTCGGGTTCTCCTGAATCCCCCGTCCTTCGACGCCGACATCCGCTCATTCCCCCCCCTTGATACCAGACGCTGCAAACACAAACAACATCGCAGAAGTCATGGCCAGAGCCTGGACCCCAGCTTGTTTCTCCATTTCCTAGCCGGATCGAGTTGTGGGGGTCCGTGGGGCCCGTAATGGGGCGGACGCGCCGGTTCTGAAAATGTGCAACGCGAGGATCTGAGGGTTCCCCCACCCGCTTCTGCCCTGTGCCCGCACCCGCTTCTGGCCCTCCCCGCTCCCTCCATGCGCTCCCTCCTGGCCATCCCCGTCGATGGCTGCAGGACGCGGGCGCCCCCGCCCACGGCAGCGTCATGGTGCTGCAGGGCGACGGGGACCTGGAGCACCTGCTGTCCAAGCGGGGAAGGGGGCTCCTCGTCTCCGAGCCCGGGCCCCTGCGAGTCGTGAAAAGATTGCGGCGGACAGCTTTTGTTCGCTATTCCCAGCCTCGGGAGGGGGGGCCTTGCCGAGCCTCGGGACTGTCAAATAGCGACTCAGGATGGAAAGCCGGTCCCGGGGGAATCGGTCGGGACCGCAGGGGGTCGACGCTGCGAAGAGATCATGGGAGGGGATCGTGGTGCGGACAGGGGACGGTATGACAAATATCATGGGAGGGAGTCGTGGTGCGGATCAAAGGATCAATCAGGGGGACGACGTGATGAAAAGATCCGGGGAATGGGTCGGGACCTCAGGGGGTCGCCAGGGGGGCGTCTTCGTGGGAGGCTTTCGGGTCTGTTCGTTGAGTATCTCGGCCGCCTTCCAGCTTCGGGGAGCTCTCCGGCAGCTGCGCCTCGCCAAGGGCACTTACGGGGGGTGCTTGTGGGTCGTCCCGAACGGCCGCCAGAGGCCCGAGCATCCGCCCGAAAGCCAGCGGCGGGCAGGGGTGCCGATCCGGAGGCGGAGAAGGAGGCTGGCGACGAAGGGGGAGGGGGAGGAGGATGAGGATACTCGGAGGAAGCAGCGGGAGGAAGACGACGACGTTGTCTCGGTCTTCCTCCTCCCCCCCTCTTCGTCCTCGCTCTTTTGCTTCAGTCCTCTTCTTCATCGTCTTCCCGAACAGGGGATTAAGAACAACATAGGATTTGCATCGGGTCGCGAGGGTTGAATGCTTGAGAGGTCGATGGTAACAGCAGCCGACATGCACCGCATGGTATTTCTGTCCCCCCAAAACTCTTGTGTTTTGGTTCTCATCTTGAATAGAGCATTGCGGCATCCACTCGTCCTTCTCCTCCCCCCTCCTCCTGCCTCTCCCTGCGCTGCTCCATCATGTGTGGCTGCGAACTGCGCAACTTTCGCCGCTCTCGTGGGCTCCTGGGAAGCACGGCGGAGTAGGAGGAACGCGCACCCAGCCGACACCTTGCAGCTCCCTGGGGGGCTGCGAATTGCGCAAGTGTCGCTACTTTCTTGGGCTCCTTGGAGGCACGGCGGAGTAGGGGAGTACGCGCGCCTAGCCGAGAGACCTCGCAGCTCCCTGGGGGGGCTGCGAACTGCGCAGTTGTCGCCACTTTCGTGGGATCCTAGGAGGCACGGCGGAATAGGGGAGTACGCGCACCCATCTGAGACTAAGGCATAAACTTGATGGCTTAGAGCGTCGGGCGCTGGGCTTACGTCTTAGGGCCGAGGACATGTGGCTTGTGGTTAGGGTGTTAGGGAGTATTGGTTTGAGCTTAGGGGTTAGGGAGTATAGCTGATGGCTTGAGGCTCAGGGCTTAGGGCCTAGGGCTTCGGGTTGAGGGCTTTGAGCTTAGGGCTTAGGGCTTAGGGGTTAGGTTGGGTTAGGGGTTAGGGTGTTAGGCTTAGATTGTTTAGTTTAGGGTGTTAAGCTTAGGGTGCTTGGTTTAGGCGGATTGAGCAAGGGTGTTAGGGAAAGGGTGTTAGGCTTAGGTTGTTTGGGTTCGGCTGATAGGGCCTGGGTGTGATGGTTAGGGAGGCCGGGTTGGGATTCGGGTGTTAGGATTAGGATATTAAGGTCAGGGTGTTACGTTCAAGGTGGTCTGTTTCGGGTTTGGGCGGTACGGCTCGGACTAGGGTGTTGGGGCTAGTTAGGGTATGGTGTTAGAGTTCAGGTGTAAGGGTTATGGGTGTGGGGTTCAGGTTCGGGTGTTAGGGTTAGGGCTTAAAGCTTAGGGCGTTAGGGTTCTGGTTAGGCTGTTGTGAACGGTTAGGGTGTTAGGGTGTTAGGGTTAGGATGTTCGGGTTAGGGTGGCAGGGTCAGGGTGGCAGGGTTAGGGTGTCGGGGCTAGTGTGTTAGGGTTCTGGAGCTGGGGGGGCGGCGTGGCCAGAGGGGGGAAGCGGGGGCGGGCCCGAGTTTCGAGTCCAAGGGCGGGGCTTCAACCGGGGGGGGAGGGGGAGGTTCACCCCCCCCTCTTTGAAAGGGGAGGAGGAGGGGGATGTCCAGCGAGAGCGTGTCGAGAAAGGGGTAGGGGGGAGTTCCCAGGACGACGGTCCGGGGCAAGAGGGGAGGGGGGGGTCCCAGACCCCCCCCGTTTGGGGCATCCAGCGGCGCGCCCTTCGAGACGATCATACCCATGACCATAACTCTACACGTCTCGGCGTGCTCAGAAGCATTAGCATGTAGGATGCCAACGCGCAGAGCACTGCTTACGCACGCCCAGCGACCCACACGCAGGCCTAGTTTGGCCTCCCAGAGTCTTTACACAATTAATACGACATAGCTCCTCCGTGGGTTAGCTTCATCCATGGGCCCGTTCCACAAACCAGCGCGGCGCCAAGATCATATGGAAGTTTGGGGTTCGACAGTCCTGGGGAAGACCACGTTCTTCACGCAAAGCGTGAGTCCAGCAACGGGAACCGGGAACCCGAGAACCCAGCCGCTGGCCGAAATCGATGGCGCGGTTCCACAGAGCATGATTCCACATTCCGCGCAGAGCACTGTCGGAGCAAGCCTTGTTCGGTGGACGTCGCTGAACTGCTGCGATTCGGCCTCTGCCTCTTCACCCGCTTCCCTCTTGCGCAGGGGACGCGAGGGGCTCTGGCCGTCTTGCCACTGCGGCGTTGTCCCCCCACTGCGGGCCGGGCACCGGGAGATGCAGCATGGCGCGGGGGCCCCGCCCCTGCCGGCACGTCCTGGTGCCCAGCGGCAGCAGGTGCAGCTCTGCTGGCCTCGTCTGCCCCGCACTCTGACGAGCAGCGGCTGCCGGCCTGTGGCGGGAGCGAGGCGCGAGGCAGGCCGGCCACCCTCGTGCTCCCGGGGCCGCGCCAGGACACATGGCCTGGCATCGCTCGGACGTGTGCGCTTTTTTTCTCGGCGAGGGCCAGTTTGAGGAGCATAATGGAGGATGACGATGAATAAATGACCGGGGGTCGTGTTCACGCGGCGGCGCCCGGGATCACGATTAGAAAAAACCGGCCGCGGGCTGGAAAACTATTTGTTTCATCGTTATCCTCCAGTCAAAAAATTATGCCGAAATAGCAGACAACTATTTTTTTAATCGTTCCCTCCAAATTTTTTATTAATCGTCATCCCGCATTATGCTGGGCCGCGCTGCGAAGCAGGCCGCGCACGGGACCGAGGAGTGCCCGGGGCACGGGCGCCCGAGCGACGGCAGGAGGGGCCCCCCCCCCATCGCCCACGCATCGCCGGCGGGGGCCGGGCAGCCCGCCCCAGCCCAGGAGCTCGCGGGCTCGCCATCGGGCGGCCTTGTCACCGCTCGACGGGCGCAGCTTGCCGCCCGACGCGGCCTGGGCGCTGGGCACCCTGAGCAACCGTTATACCCCTCCTCTCGCGCGGCCCCTCGGGGCCTGACGGGCCGAGCTTCCGCCGCCACCACCACAGGCAGGACGGGGGAGGAGGGAGAATATGGGGGGAGGTCCTCCTCCTCCCACTCCTCCTCCCTCGCCTGCCCATGTGGCAGTGGTGGTGGGAAATGCGCCCATCAGTGCCCCACGCCTTCGGAATGTTCCCAGACATGCGACGCCCGGATGGTTTTTCAGTGCGGGGCCCCTGGAAGGCCCAAACCATTTGCCAGGGACCAGTTTTTTGTCCTGAGTCGTTGTTTGACGCTCCCGAGGCCCGGCGAGGGCTCCCCGAGGCCGAAAACGACCAAGAACCTCCCGTTCTGATTTTTAACGACGCGATGATGTCTGGGTCTCCTACATAATCATGGTAGTGGTGGTGGGAAAATTGCCCCTCAGTGCCCCACGCCTTCTTTTTGTTTCCTTCCTCAGCAATGCGAAGACGGGCGCTGGTCCACCAAGCTTCTGGATTGGACACCTGAGGGCGTTCGCGAGACCGGGCGGCCCCGAAAGCGCTACGCATATCGATTCTCGATGTTGCTGTTTTCATCTGGCGAACCCGCCTGCCCTGCAGGGGCACCGGCGCGGGACCACCCGCAGCGCTGCATCCTGTCCTGCCCTGTCCCGTCCTCGGCGATCACGGGCCCGGGCAGGCTGCCTGCCGAGTGGGTCGTCGTCGAGTTCTCCGCGGCCGCGAGGGGAGGGGAGGTGGGACAACCAGCCGCTTCGGTGCGCTGGCTTGCCGCGGGACTCTGCCCGCCCCGCCGCCACAGGAATCACCGAGCGCCTTGCAATACTCGCGAAGTGCCTGCCCGCAAACGTTCGGAAACATGTGCTTACCTCGACGCGATCAACCCCGTAACGTGTATCGTAGATCCGCCGCGGCGAATCGAGGCCATTCGCGAGTAGTTCCTTTGCGAGTAGTGGAGCGCGCTCGTCTAAGAAAATGGACACAGACACCCTCCAATGGATTTTTTCTGGGCCTCTGGGGGGTTGGCGGTGTACAGACACGAGGCGTGCCAGAGAGCGCCTTGCCTTCGAGGATCGAAGAAATTGTCATCTCTTCCTCGGCGGGAGGCGAGGGGGGGGGGGCGGGCAGGGGGAGGGGTAGTTCTCGCCCGGAAGGGGAAGAAGGGGGTTGGAAGAAGAAACGCTCTAAACCACTCACGCCCAAGGGGGCTCTGGTGGGATTCCGAAGCGCCCTGCACGAACAGTCTGTTCCTTTTGAGCGCCGGGCGCTGTGTTTTCGTGGTGGTCACCCCCTGTCTGCACGAACGAGATGGGCACGGGAGGAATGGATACAATGCCCAACACCAGTTCCGGTTCGTTTCGAACAGGACTCGCTGTCCGCGCCGCCGCGGCCTGTAACCATTTGAGGCAGAAGGCCGCCTGTCCAACAGCGGCCGCTGTTGGTTTGGGACAACATTTGTTGTCGGGCACTTCACCCATTATTTCCGTACCCATTTCGGGCATTCAACCTTTGGACTAGGGGAACAAACAGTGACATAAAGATAAAGACTCGAAGGTTCGCGCGGATTTCTCGGATCGGCGCTAGACCCCCCTCCCTGGCGCGCGGAGCGCGCCAGGGGCGGCGCCGGAGGTGCCGCCCGGGGAGTCCAGCGCCGATCCGAGAAATCCGCGCGGACCTCCGAGTTTTTATGCTTGTGCCACTGTTTGTTCCCCTATGGACTCCGGAGGCCCTCGCAAGCCGCCTCCCGCAGCCACGGCGGGCCCCAAAATAGGCACCGCGCGCGGTCCCCCTCCTGCACCGCGGTGCCTCGCTCCCTGAGGGCTTCCGCGATCGACCTCGCACTGTTCGTCACCGGAAGGGAGGAGGAGGAGGAGGAGGAGGAGGACGAGGAGGAGGAGGCGAAAAAGGGTGAGAAGGAGTTGGAGGATATGGAGGATATGGAGGAGGAGGAGGAGGAGGAGGAGGAGGAGCCGAACATGAGATACGGTCGGGAACACTTTGATAGCGTATCGCTCCGCCCGTGTTGGCCCGCCACGCTTCTGCGCGGCACGCTGTGCATTTCCCAGTCCCAAAGCGTCCACGTCCCGAGCCTTTCCCAGCCTCTCAACCCACGAAGCGGAGCGACACGCCATCCTCCCGCAAGGCTCAGCGTGTCGCCGGGGTCGCCGCGGCGACACGCTACCCAAGAGTTCCCGACCGTAACACCTTTGCTGGCCAACTGAAGCTTGGCAATCGCCGACTAGGCGATCACGCCACACCCTCGGACACGCGCGAGGATCCTACAGCACATCCTGACATCGAGAGAAGCCCGTCGGACATGCGCGTTGGATCCTACAGCATATTCTGAGGTATCGTCGGTCCACAGGCGCTCGCTGAGAACGGGGTGGATCACGGTGAGGCGCTCCATGATCAGATGATTTGGCATTCCGCGAAGAGGGTCCCGTGTAGCAATCAATGCATGATTTCCCGAGCCGTTTGGAAGGGCAGCGAAACGGTATCACCTTGGACAACTATCTTCGGACTCGTGCAAATTTGAAGCTCGAGTCCCAGCACTACAGCAGGGAATCCATATCTAGCCGCCCAGTTGACTAGAGGGCTCCATTCTATCGTACCGTTGAAATTTCGAACATCGACTAATTCGTGACCGTTGGGCATCCTGAGCTTCGTTGAGAGCTCATCCTCCAGGATCCTCATGAACGTGTGCTCAAGGGCCGAAGTGCCCGTGACTGGTGTGTCCCACGACGGTTGCATGTCGAAAGGCTACTTGCGAGGCACCAGCTCTTTGTCTAAAGACCACGCTCTGAATACCATATGTGTACAAGTGGTTTTACTTGTGCACAGGATTCGAGGGCTCGGTTCGCGTCGCGTCAATCTTGGTACTGCTCCCATGCACGCCCAACCTCTCGGTGACTGGCGGATTGGAAAAAACGAATGGTGATCACGAGGAGGTTCGCGGTCGTCATCCCGTGGTCATGACGCTCAAGGGGCAATGCCATGAGCGTCGACGGAGTAAAAGCAGAAACGAATGACCCGCAGTTGGGATGGAGAGGAGGAAAAAGAGCAGAAGGAGGACGAGGACGACGAGGCGGACAAGTACGGCCAGACACACGGTCCCGCAGTCGCCAGAAAGGGGAACATGTCATGATAGAATGCGCTTCCGGCAGCAAGGGGGTAAAATATTATACCCATGGGCGTGAGTGGGGGCCGCGGGCATTGGGAGCGAGGGGCATGCGAGGGTCGTCTGAGAGGGGCATGGTTCGGTGCGACGAGGGGGCGACGCTGATGACTGCGAGGAGAACGAAGGTAATCGCTCAGAGAAGGGGTTACCAGCCCCACCTTGAGAGGAGGGGCTCGCAATGAACACTTCTTCGCCGTGGTCAAACATTCAAAGTTTCTTGCATTCCTTTTTGGCCTCTGCGCCGCCTAGGGCCCTCTTCGAAGCCTCTGGGGCGTTTGGGGACCGCGTGCACCACATCCGACCCCATCAGAAGGTTTGGGAGAACTGTCGAGTTGTGTGTATCGCGGCCCCCCTGGTTGTTTCGTGGCCAGTGGGAGATGATGACGACGACTACGTCAGCTCGTTTCGGCGGTGGCCCAGGTGATGTTTGGGCGCCTTTAGGGAGGGCAGCGACGATGGGGCGAGCATGGCAGACGATGATGAGGTAGGAGGCGAATCAGAAGACGCAGAGCAGAAAGCGAATGAGGGGGACGACGGGACGAAGAGCAGCCGACTGATGCTCGCTTGCTTAGGCGGTGGCTGAGGCGTTGTCTGGGCGCCTTTAGGCAGGGTCTCAGACTTGAGGGGGGCTTCAGGGGACCTAGGCGTTCACGGCGCCTACTGGCCTACTGCTTGCCGTGGTGGAAATCAGTTGTTTCGGGGGATGAAGCGGCGGCCGCCCGATGAAGCGGGGACACGGGCATGACCGCGAGGGGTCGCGGTCATGCCGCCAGGGCCGTCGTGTCGCCATGGCGGCACACCCCTGACTTGGATCGTGAGTCAGGGTCGTCTTGGGCGCCCGGCGGGGCTTCGAGGTGTGTTTCCGCGGGGCCTTTGGAAGCCTTGCATCGCTCATGAATCGGATGGCCCTGGGAGCTTTTTCTGGAATAGCAGTGCAGGACGTGGGCGCGAGACCTCCCATACGCTTTTGGGGGCCTACTGGCAGGCTTCCCGGGAGCATTTTGGGAGTCTCTGGGGGCCTCTTGACCTTCTTGGGGGTCCTTTTGGAGCACTTTTGGGCCTGCGGGGGGCTTTTTGGGGTTGTCCTGGGGCCTTGTTGGGTCGTCTTGGGGGGCTCGCTCGGGCTGTCTTTGGGCTCTCATGGGGCCCTTGGGCAATCTGGGGGCCTCCTGTGGCCCTTTCGGGCCCCCTTCGGGCCCTGTTGCCGCCCTGGGGCCTGTGGGTCGTCTTGGGGCTCTCTTCTGCCATCTTTGAGCCCTCTTAGTGGGCAGTTTTGGGACCCTCTTGAGGGCCTCCTGGGTCGTCTTGGGGCGATCTTGGGAGTCCCTTGGGCGCAGTTAGGACCGAAGAAGCGAACATGCCAAACATACACGTGTCCGGGAATGCGACGATTTGTGCCTCTTGGGGGCCCTTTGTGGGCCTCTTGGACTTGGGCCGTCTTGAGAGCCTCTGCGGCCGTCCAGAAGCCGTCTTAGGCCCTCTTGGCGCGCTCTTATGCCACTCTGGAGGCACCTTGCGGCTCCTCGGTAGCCTCTTGGGCCAGCTCGGGGGCCTCTTGGGCTTGTGCAGGGCGCGTTTTCAGCCGTCTGGGAGCTCTTCCGACGGGTGCCCCTGGGCTGGGGAGTGCCGTCCAAAACGCATGGGGGGGCGTGCGGGCATCCAGCGGGGCGTCCTTTAATTAAAGGAAAACTGTGGAGACCCATGCCAAGAAACACCCTGCATGCCTCCAGGGTGCCCTGGGTTTCTTTGGTTTCGGCGGTTTTGCAGTGGAAAGCGTGACGTTCCAACACCAAATATCGATGGACGTCCTGGGGTCAGGGCTGGGTTTCTTGTGGAAGGTTTCTTGTGGCATGGCCTGCGCTGTATGAGTCCGATGACCGCGCGCTGCTCCGTGGGAAGGGGGGGGGAGGTGGGCAGGAGGAGCATGGGAGAGGGGAGGGGCGCGGAGGAGCGGTCGCCGGCGTGCCTGGCCATGAAGCCTGCCTTCGAGAGCCTCGCGAAGGAGCGACCTCAGCTGGACCGCGGGGAGGGGGCGGCCGCGCAGTGACGCCGCCTTCGTCGTCGTCGTCGTCGTCGTCGTCGTCGTCGTCGTCGTCGTCGTCGTCGCCGTGTTCGCGTGCTCACGTCGTCGTCGTCGTCGTCGTCGTCGTCTTCGTCGTCGTCGGAACCATCGTCGTCGCGGTTCCCGTGGCAGCGCGCCGGCGTCGTCGTCGGCGGCGGCGCGGCGGTGGTATAGTCTTCGACCGCTTTCGTCCATGGGATCGGCGTGATTGTCGTCGTTTCCGCCCTCCTCGGGACACTGGGGCCGCACAGGCCAGGTCACCCGTGCCCCTCCCCGCCTTGAGGCCAGAGGGCGGTGAGCGAAAATCAAGCCCCAAATGGTGGGGCACAGGGGTGCGGAAGATGCAGAAGATCTCGGCACCATCTTCCGCACTCGGCGTTGCGCCGTGCGCCGTTGTTTGTAACCCCCCAGTGCCCGAGACGCGTACCTCCAAGTCGGTGTTTCAAACGGAGTCCCAGCTCAATGCGTAGAGACTTGCCCACTGATGCCCCCTCACCTTGCTCCTTCATTCGTCCAACTATGCGCGTGCCTTCCTGCCGTATGGCCTCGCCCAAACTATGCGCATGGCTTCCTCTACTAGAGTGGAGCAGGTATAATAGAGCAGACTAGCATAGAGTACGAGTGTCTAGAGTACGTAAAGTGTTAGTGGAGTAGAGTAGAGTAGATAACTAGTAGAGTAGGAGTTGAGGTGGGTAGAGTATGTGATCGTCCGTCAATTGATCCGCGTGTTTTCCTCTACTATCCGCATAGCTTCGCCCGAATTTTACATATGGTTTCCTCTGCTATCCGCATTGCTTCGCCTGGTAGGGTAGAGTGGCAGTAGAGTAGAGTTGGGTAGAGTATACTGGAGTAGAGTAGCGCTTAGTCGAGTAGAGCGGGGTAGAGTAGAGTAGCATAGAGTAGGGTTAAGCAGACTAGAGTGGAATAGAGCAGAGTAGGAACATGATACATTAGGGTCGAGCAGGAGTAGAGTAGGTTAGGGTTCGCCAAACTATCCGCGTGCTCGCCTCTGCCATCCGCATGGCTTCGTTCAAACTGTCCACCAGGACTCCATCTGCGATCTCCATGCCTAGGAGAGTCGAGCAGAGTAGAGTGGAGTAGGAATAGAGAGGAGTAGGGTTGGAGTAGAGCGGAATAGGAGTAGAATAGAGAGAGTAGAGTAGAGCTGGGAATGAGATTGGTAGAGTCTTGTTAGGCAGAACAGAAGAGAGCAGAATGGGTATAGCCGGGTAGATTAGAGTGTGTAAGATCGAGTAGAGTAGAGTGTCGTAAAGGAGGGTCGAGGGGAGTAGCGCAGCGTAGCACATCGTAGAGTGGAGTTGCGTAGAGTAGTGCAGCATAGAGTAGATCTCGGTAGGGTCGAGTAGAGTAGGGTAGAGGATAGTAGGGTGACGGGGGGAGAGTAGAAAAGAGTAGAGTAGAGTAGAGTAGAGTAGGGCATATGGCTTGGTACAGCCAGCATCATAGAGTAGCGTGGAGTAGAGTAGGTTCGAGTAGAGTAACGCAGAGTAGGGCAGACTTGAGTGTATTTGAGTAAAGTAGGAAAGAGTAGAGTAGAGTAGAGTAGAGTAGCGTTTAATAGCGCAGAGAAGGTTTGAGTAGCTTCGAGTAGTTTAGGGTAGTGTGAAGTAGAGTAACATATCGTCGAGTAGGGTATAGCCGAACAGGTTAATGTAAAGTAGCGAAGTGTCGAGACGGGTCGAGCGAGTAGGGTAGGTCAGCGTAGAGTAGCGTCAAGTAGTGTATGCTAGGGTAGATGTTGGTATTCGTTGTCAGCGCCAGCTTCGTTTTGTCGGCAACTATTCCGCCTATTGTGTGGCGTGCTCGGTCAACTAACGAATCGCCTTTTCTCCCTCCTCTTTCCTTCCTCCTTCCTCCTGCCGCGACCCTCTATCCGACCTTCCCCTCAGAACCATCCAGGACCCTTCGTCGGAAACATTTGAGTGACGCCCTAGACGGTGGTGATCGTTTCTGTCATTCATTGTTTTGCCGATCGGCGCGGGCCCCAAACACCCCTCCCCCCTCCCCCCCCAAGGAGTAGATCTTGGGTGTTTTTTGGTGCCTGTTTCGAGCGGGTGGAGTTTCCCCAGGAGACCGCACTCTTGCAAACAGTCGCACTAAGCAGAGGTCTGGAGCCAGACCCCCACCCTCTCCCCCCCCTTGCCGCCCAATGTCGAAACGCCGAATAAGAGAACGCTCACATGTCCCGAACAACCGAGATCAATTCCTCACCTCCGTTGGTGAGGGGAGGATTACCTCCGGGGGCAGATCAGGCAGAGGAGGGAACGCATCCGCACCACCTGCACCAAATTCGGTTCGACGGAGGAGGAGGAGGAATTGGAGGAGGAGAAGGGGGACGACCTTAGTGGGCCTTGGAAACGACAGGGCCGTCTTTTTACCGGTTCGGTTTTGCCGTTTTTGTTGCCGGTTCCGACGCCGTTTCTTACCGGTTCCGTCGCCGTTGTTTACCGGTTCCAGCGTTAAATCCAATCTTGAAGCCGTTTCGTTGCCGTTTCCAGTCGCCGTTGTTTTACGATTCCATTTTCAAGAGACATGGAGGACCAGGAAGGAGAAGGGAAGGGATGGTCGGTTTTTGCTGGCACCTTCCTGGGAGCCGTGGGACATATCCTCCTCCCTCCGTCCATCAGGGCTGGACCTAAACGCTGTTTTGCTGGACTTCGGTTGTGTGGCGCTTTTCGTTCTGGGAGGGAGGCGCAGGACAACAGGTAGAGCAACACGAAAAACAAAAGAGAATCACCAACGGAAACAGCGTTCAGGTCCAGCCCTGCAGTCCAAGTCGTGGGAACATGCTTCTTGGCATCCCTGCGGACGACTCTCACCAGCACGCGAGCTCGGCTTCCAAGCCGGCGGGCCAAGCTGCGGTGAGAGGAAGTGACTTCTCATGGCGCCAACCTCGCAGAGCGGATTTCGTTCGGAAAACAATAGGATGGGCCCGGAATGTCGTTCCGGATTTCGAGGTGAATTTCGTGAGGACTTTAATGACCAGGAACGAAGACGAAAAACATCCACGCGAAATTCACTTCGTTCTTCACTCGCCTTTCGGGGCTTTGCACTGACGGAAATCCGCGCGAAACTCCGCTGCAACACGCCTGCAGGGTCGGTGCACTGAGAAGTGCTCGCCCTCGCCCGCTGTCAACATTCACGCGGGGAGCAGTTCATGCGCAGGCTCGAGACTGCTCAAGTGCAGTGCACTCAGCTGGCCGTTCGGCTGTACGATACTGTAGGTTTCGGCCACGCGCAGAGGGGGCTTGGCATCGCTTGGACGTGTGCATTTTTTCTCGGCGAGAACCATCGAGGACCATCCTGGACGATCGAGCCAAAAAAAAAACACGCACGACACCGAAACATGCACGGGAAATGGACGTCCGAGCGATGGCAAGGGGGGTGGGGGAAGGGGGGGGGGCTGCTAAGAAGCAGCCTCCTTCCCTCGAAGCCCTCCCCCCTCCCTCCCCTCCTTTGTGCGCACCGCCAAGGGTTCGCGTCGTGTCGACCAGCAGCGACCCCGCCGCCGGCGTGCAGCGTGGAGCACCGCCGGCGACCCAGGGCAGGTCGATGTTGAAAAATCGGACGCTGCGGAAGCGGCCGACCGTTCAAGGGTTGAACGATCCCCCCGGTTGCAGGAAGCACCGCCCGGGTCGACGCGACACGAGCTTGCCGTAGTTGCCCCCCTCCCCCCCCTCCACCCACATTCCATCCATCCATCTCCCCCCCGTCCGTCCTCCCTCCTCCTCCTCTCCTCTCTCCTTCCTGGCTCGGGTGGCAGAGTGACGAGGCTGGTTCAGCCCTGCCCCATACAGGAACAAGCGGGAAGGAGGCACACGGCTTGGAGGTACGTTCTCCGGGGCCCGCACACAAAATGACGAAAGGCGGCAGACGCACGCCGAGCTCTTGCCTTCGCCTTGATCGCAGGAAGGGCCAGGGAGGACGGCATGTTCTTGCAGGGGTCAAGCAAGGGCTCATGTTACCAAGCAGGCCCTCATCATCGGGCGAAGGGAACTATGCACATGCACCGATCCTGGCAAGGCCCATCCTTGACCCAGGATCGGTGCATATACCTTCCTAGCCAGGGTAGGAGGGCGTATGCACCGATCCTGGGCTCAGGATGGGCCTGGCCAGAATCGGTGTATGTGCATAGTTCTCTTTCCTCTACATCAGACCCTGATCCTCCCTCCCTCTCCTGCCTTTGCCGCGGTGAAGGGGAGGCCTTTGCGCGCGTCGACGTGGGCCGCATGCCCAAGACCGCGCTCGCCCACGCTGCCACGAGGGTGCGGCGCCGGAGCGCGCGTGGCCCGCGCGTGACGTCGGCGGCCTCGGTGACGGCCGCGGCGGCGGCGGCGGCGGCGGCGACGACGACGACGACGACGACGACGACGGCGACGACGACGACGACGACGACCAGTGGGAGGGGGAGGGTGGGGGGTGGAGGAGGAGCTCTCCCCTTCCTCCCTCCCTTCTCTCCCCACCTCGAGGAAGCGCAGCCATGGAATCAAGGCGTCTGGGTTAGCGACGGGCCCCGTTTTCGGACAGACTCGGCGCCCAGCCCAGTTGCCAGATCCACGGGTGTCGAATCCGTGTTCGCGTGTGCCCGATTCTCCCCCTACTTCCTCCCCTCTCCCCCCCTCCGCCGCCTCCCCCCCCCTTACCTGCCTCGTTCTTCCTCATCGATCTGGCTCGAGAAGTGCAGCAGAAAGTTTAGATCAGCCTCCGCTTGATTGTTCGCGGCAAGAGGAGGCAGAAACGCCATCAGCAGTCCTTGCCAAGCCCGCCGAACAGGACCAGCCGCCCACAGATCGTTGCAACTCGTATCCTGGCGATGGCATCGTCAACATCACCGTTCTTCGGCCACACAGGTGCCACACATGCGAGAAGTGTGTGTGTGTGTGTGTGTGTGTGTGTGTGTGTGTGTGTGTGTGTGTGTGTGTGTGTGTGTGTGTGTGTGTGTGTGTGTGTGTGTGTGTGTGTGTGCGTGTGCGTGTGCGTGTGTGTGTGTGTGTGGCGGGCGGTTACATCTCGCACCAGGCAGCACAGGCATTGCGCCAAGCGCCAGCCGCCGCAATGGGGCCAGCAGTCATTCCGTCACTGCGGATTGGCCTCTTGCAGTTGTATGTTTGCGCGTCCATCCACGATCAGAGACGGCAGTGCGCTCATGTGCCGCTCGTCCTTGATCCGCAGTCCACCATCGTTCCTTGAATCGGGCGTGGCGCGACAAACGCGCCCCGCCTGCCGTGCTCACTTGTGCGCCTTTCATCTCGCATTCGAGTCGGTTTCGACGCTCAGCCGTGCATCTTGCATTCCCGTCTGCAGTTCTATACGCGGTTGCTAGCTTGTCGGCGTGGCCTGAGTGCGTGCCAGTGGCCAGTTGCCGCTTAGGCTTCTGGCGTTGGGCTTTTCCGCAGCATTGAGTTCAGCGCGCTACACTATGAGTTCGCTTCGCTCTTGCCCGCCTTCTCCCTCCGCTCGTCCCTGCATGGTTTGACGCCGACCCAGGCGGGGTTTCGAGCCTGCCTCGCAGTCAGGTTCGATGCAGTTCGATGCGCTTGCGTCCTCGTACTGGACGCCCATCTGCTTGTTTGGTGGACGCGAGTTTGCCCGCAGCATGTTGATCGGTGGCGAGCCGAGGGGGATGTGAGAAGGAGAAGGCCTTCCCAGAAGGCGCGGAAGGTCCCTGGTCTTCGGGGAAGTCTTCTCCAAACCTTTCCCGGCAACAGGGGAGCACTTCTCAGAAGGCAGGAGGGCTTCTTGAGAGGCCCCGCCGCCTGAGAAGGCCTCCTCCTCCCTTCTCCCCTCCTTCGCCCGCCGCCGAGGAGCGAGAGGCGGGGGATCCGTAAGATTGCAGGGTGGCGTGAGGGTGAGACGGGGCAGGGGAGGACCTGAGGAGGGAGAAGGCTGAGGAGCGAAGGGGGTGGGGGCGGGGGGCCGACGACCTCGGAGGGAGGCCAGATCCTTCTCGCTCCCCCCCCGCGCTCGCCGCCGATTCGAGAGAGCCCACAGCGCTTCCCGCCCCCATCGGGGGGGGCGGGCACGGTCCTGCCGCGCCCGCCCCCGCGGAGCCGCACCCGAGAGATCACGGCCCGAGCCCGTGCTTGCGTTGCAGCAACCTCCTCCCTCCTAACCCCCTCCCTCCTCCTCGCTCTTCCCTCCTCCCTCCCTCTTCCCTCCTCACTCCCCCTTCACTGCAGAGACATTTGGTCCCAGAGTTCTTTCTTTGCTTTGCTGTGCTCTGTTCTGCTGTGCTTTGCTTTGCGTTGCTTTGCTCCTCCCCCCCTCCTTCTCCTCCTGGTGCTGCTCCTCCTCCCTCGAGGTGCCCATCCTACCTGAGTCGCCGAGGGTGCGCTCGATTCCGAGCGCTGGGCAAACTGCCTAGGTCTGCGGCGCAGCCCTCGAGCCGAACCCGCTGCAGAAGTCTTCTGGACACTTCGGGAGTTCAGTGAGGCGCTTCAGTCGTAAGAATCGGCAGCGAACTTCGAACCCTGCCCCAGCCTCCCATCGGTCTTGGAGAAACGATGGTCGGCGGGTGTAGACTTCGGATACCGCCGCCCAGATGTTTCGATCCCATGAAAGTTCGTAGCTCCCCGCCGCGGCCAAGGTCTCCGACCTCGCGCTTTCCTGGCAGCGTGGGGCCCAAGAGGCCTGGACCTTTGCCCGAGGCCTTCCTCTTCCTCCCAGGCCGCGCTCTGACGATCCAGGACCGTAGACACGCTGACGGCGATGTAGGCAACGGCGATGTAGGTTTAGGTATCGTAGGTGAGGGCGGTTCGTGGCCAACCCCATGATAGGACAGCGTTTTTTCTTCGGCGTGTTCCTACATTTCGCCGTGCCGCGCTCGCCCGATACATTCGCGTTTTCCATGCAGGAAATTGTGGTTCGCGATGCCCTACAATTCGTGCTGCGCGAGTTTGGCGTTGCAGAGAGCAGATTCCCAAGCGTGGCTTTGGCAGGAGGCCCTGCCCAGTGAGGGCCCCCCCCCGAGGCAGAGCGTGGGAAAAACAGGTCCGTCGCTGCTCTCGCCGCGGCGCGGGTAAGGAGGCCCGGAGGGCCCGCCCCCCCCCCGCCGTCGCCGCAGGTGCCCTCTGGGGGGCCGAAGGTGGTCAGCAGCCTTCCATCGCCGCTTTTTTGTTCGTGCAGCGGGGGAGAAACAAGTCCCGAGAGCCGCCCCTCCCCCCTCCTCCTCCTCCTCCTCCTCCTCCTCCTCCTCCTCCTCCTCCTCCTCCTCCTCCTCCTCCCCCTCCGCCTCCTCTTCCTCCTCCTCCCCCTTGTCCTCCCCCTCCCCCTCCTCCCCCTCCTCCTCCTCCTCCTCCTCTTCCTCCTCCTCCTCCTCATCCTGCCCCTCCTTCTCCTCCCCCCCTCTCCGCGCCGTCGCCGCAGGTGCCCTCCTACCTCTTCCTCTGGGACGGCGTCCCCGAGGCCGACTTCGCCGGGGCCTCGGAGCGGCGGCTGAGGGACACGATGGAGGAGCCGCGGCGCCGCGGCCGCCGCCAGGGGTCATCGCCGGAGAGCCTGCGCCGGGGACCTGGGCGGGCCCAGACATGATCTCGTCGTGAGAATAATCAGGACGGGAGGTTTTTGGCCAAGTTCGGCCTCTAGGGGCCCTCGCCGGGCCTTTGGACCGTCAAGACACGACTCGGGATGAAAGACCGGTCCCCTTGGCAAGGGTCGGGACCTCCAGGGACCCCGGATTGGAAAAAAAGGCGTCGCATGTCTGGGTCCAGCGCGCGCCCTGGGAGCCAGGCTCGGTCACATCTGGACTTCGGCGGCGCGCCGGGGTGGGCGGTGGGAGGGGGCAGGCCTCCTCGCAAGGCGACGAGGCTTCTCGGAGGTGCTCCAGCCTTCGGAGAGTCAACCGCTCCGCTTCGGAGGAGGCCTGCAAGGCTCCTCCGCGGAGGGCCAGCTGGGCCTCCTTCCGACAGGGCCCGCCCCCTCTGCCTTCCCCCCCGTGGGAGCGCCGCCAGGGGCAACCCAAAGTCGGCCTGGGACAAGATACTTGTTTGGATGAGCCCCAGGAGGCCGCTGTGGCTTGGGGTGGGAAGAACGCTTCGTTTGTCTTGGACAAAGAACTTCGGGGGTGGACAAAACCCCCAACAGTGACACGTCGATTAGTGAATTGTCCATCCCCGAGAACTTGCTCGGGTGGGGCTTGGATGCTGGCGCTGCGCCGCCGCCACCAGAGTGATCGCGGCCGTGGCCGCCACGAGTGGGGCCCCGAGGGAGGGGCAAATGAGAGAGAAAGAGAGAGAGGGCGGAGGGGGGAGCGAGGGCGGGGAGGGGGGGGAGGGGGTATAATTGCGGGGGGGCGCTCGGAGGCCTCGAGGGAATGGGTACGCAAATAATGGCGACGAAGATCGGCAGCCGCTCCTATCCACTTTGAACAGGGCTCGCACTTGGGTGGCCGCTGACGCCTTCCAGTTGAGAAAGTCGGCTGCCCAACTGCGGCCGCTGTGGGTGTCGGGCAACATCTGCTACCGGGCGTGCCAAGGGGCCCGTGGAGGAGAGGGGGGACGGGGGGGACGAGGATGATGAGGACAGGGGGATGCTAAACTGCGGGGGGGGGCAGTTCATCTGCCCTCCCGCCCCTCCCCCCGCAGTGGACCCCACCCGAGGGGGGCATGAACTGCGGGGGGAGGGAGCTCGGCGGTGGGGGGGCCACGGAGAGTCGGGGAGGCGGGGGGGGAGGAGGAGGGGAGAGAGAGGGGGGGGGGAGCGGACGCTGCGAGCTGGACGAGCTCGACAGCTTGCCGAAGAAGCCGGCCGGGGGAGCGAGCCGGGGCCCATCGCCCAGCCTTCGGTGACGTATCGCCGATGCTCTGTCGAGGTTTGCCCCTCCTGAGCCGGTGTGTCTCCCTGCGTCCCGTTGCCCTCCCCATTGGCCTCTGCGAGCGCAGCGCGTGCGACCTCGAGCGTGGGGCTGGCGCACATCGTGCCTGGCTCTTATCAGGCGATCGCAAACATGGATCAAGGGGGCGTGGATTAGCGATGGGTCCCGTTTCCATGGGAAGTCACGGATTTCCGCCGCCGAACGAGGCGGCATTTGCCGCATTTTGGGGAGGGCGCCTCCCCCGATCCATGGATGTAGGGACCGCGCGCCCAATCCATGGATCGCTAATCCATGTTTGCATGCCCCCGCTCTTAGTGGGCCCTGGAAGCGACATGGCTGTTGTTTTACTGGTTCCGTTTTGCCGTTTTCGTGCCGATGCCGTCGCTAATTGTGTTGCCGGTTCTGTCGCTGTGGTTTGCTGGCTTCAGGTCCGGCTCCAGCCCCGGAGCCGTTGTTGCTGCCGTTTCCAGAGCTGGCCTTTAACCGTGCCCATGTTCGAGAGACATTTGTTCTAGAAAACGATAAAACAACTGCCAAAACAAGCAATGATGTTGGCCTTCTCGCCGAGGCCTCTGGGGGCGTCTTGGGGCCCCTGGGGAGCCTTTTGGGGCGTCTTGGGGGTCTCTTCAGAGCCTCTTCGGGGCATCTTGGGGGCCTCTTGGATGCTTCTTGGGGCCTCTTGGGCACCTCTGGGGGCCGTCTTGGGGTACCCTTCAGAGCCTCGGGGGTCATCTTGGGGCCATCTTGGGCAAGATCGATCAGAGGCTTCCCAATTTGGGCCCCCCCCCCCCAGAACGCCAACATGTGGCCAGCACCATGGCCGAGTCAATGATTTCGGCTCCCTCGCCGAGGCCATCTTGGACGTGTCAACGTCTCGCGGACACCCCCTCTTCCAAACACAGGGGGAGGGGGGAGGGGAGGGTACGCACCTCCCCGAAGGGGGAGACGGGGGTTGGAAGAGGAAGCTCTCTGAACCACTCACGCCCTCAAGGGCTGGCGGGATCACAACGACGAGCGAATAGGATCCGCGGTGACCATGGGCTGGATAGGAGACAGACGAAAGAAGGTGCAGTTGAAGATCGGGTAGGTCTTGTTGTAGAAATGTGCATCGGTTCTGAGTGGCAGTTGCAACAGGACGACGTCTGGTTGGCTTGCACCAGGTGCTGTCGTAGAAGATGTAGTCGGTGCCTTACAGTCCAGAGTAAGTTGTAGCAGGTGCTGTAGTTACACAAGCCGCGTGGAAGTTGTTGCCTGGGCTGTACTTGGAGCTGGTTGAGATCTGCCATCGGAGCCGTAGTGGGACATGTGGTAAGAAGAACTCCACTCGGAGCTGGTCAGCAGATCAGGAGCTGTGCCAGGGATGCGTCGGGGCCGTGACCGGCTGCGAGGCTGCGCATCGCAGGCAGCCCACACGCAGGGGTCAAAGGGGGCCCCGGGAGCGTGAAGTTGTCCAGCAGGTGGCGCATCACCTCGGTGTGACCCTGGACGGCGGCCTCCGACAGCGCCGAGGCCGCGCGCCCGTCCAGCGCGGACGCGTCGGCCCCCTGCTCCGGGGCCCGCGACGAGGGGGGGGGGGGAAATCTCGGTCTCACACCCCTGACGGGCCAGTTCTCAACCACCACTGCCATAGGTAGGATGGGGGAGAGAGAAGGATGGGGAGGTCCTCCTCCTCCTCCTCCGCCTCCTCCTCTTTCTCCTCCTCCTCCTCCTCCTCCTCCTCCTCCTCCTCCTCCTCCTCCTCCTCTCCTCCCCCTCCTCCTCCTCCTCCTCCTCCTCCTCCTCCTCCTCCTCCTCCTCCTCCCCCTCCTCCTCCCTCCTCCTCCTCCTCCTCCTCCTCCTCCTCCTCCTCCTCCTCCTCCTCCTCCTCCTCCTCCTCCTCCTCCTCCTCCTCCTCCCCCTCCCCCTCCTCCCCCTCCTCCCTCTCCTACGCATTGGTAGTGGTGGTGGAAGACAGGCCCATCCACCCCGGCGCCCGGCTCGCCGTTGCTGGCTGGCCTCAATGGTTTTGGCTCCCTCGCCGAGGGCATCTCGAGCCATTCGTTTGCGGTCTCGGGTCCGAAGCAGGGCCTCCAGAGGCCGAGAGCACCGAAGGCCGATCGGGTATCCCAGACACGGTTTCGGGAGCAGAGGCGGCGGAGATGCGGTTGTGCATCTCCCAGGGTTCCCCGGGTGCCCCAGGGGACCGACAAGAGCCAAGGACGCTGAGAGAAACCTGAAGCCTCTCCTCCCGAGCATCGAAGATCTGGTGATCGCTTTATATGTATTGTTTTGCAGGTCGGCACGGGCCCTCGCACCCCGCCCCTCCCCCCCCCTCCTGTGGAGTAGATCTTGGCTGTTTTTGTTGACACCTGTTTCGAGCGGCTGGAGTCTCTCCCAGAGGACGCACGGTCCCAAACAGTCGCACTAAGCAGAGGTCCGGAGTCCGGACCCAGCCCACCCCCCCTCCCCCCCCCCTTCCGCCCATTTTCGAAACGCCGAAGAAAAAAAACCCTCACCTGGGTCCCGTTGCAGAGCCGCCGTCGCCGCCGCCCCCGGCAGGACTGCCTGAAGCTGGGGCCCACGGCCTGGAAAGAGTGCCGCCGGGGCTGGGAACAGTTGGGTGCCCAAACAGACAGTTCGCGACAGTGAGGAGGAGGAGGAGGAGGAGGAGGAGGAGGAGGAGGAGGAGGAGGAGGAGGAGGAGGATTTTTGTTTCAGCAGGACCTCGTGATGAGTGAAAAGCTCTGAGGGTTTCACGCCAAACGCCCAGAGCGGCACGGGGACTAAAGAGCCCGTGCCGTGATAAGACAATGGTGACTTCACCTCGGCGAGCGCCGCTTCGGGGAGGGGGCTTCGCGAGTTCCCTTCGGAGAGCCCGCGATGGCCACCCTCCCCTCACGGCTCGACCCTCGGCTCAGCCGCCATGACAGGGCCACCGTCAGCTACGCAAGACAGACGCCACTGCTGGGGGAGAGGACACTGGGGACACACAGGCGGGAGGACTGGCCGGAGCTCGCCCACGCCCAGACTCGCCCTCGGGAGAAGTGGCGCCCCCCCCCTGTGCAGCTGTCGCCGCGGGGGGGAGAGTTACCTCCCGCGCCCCAGGGACGTACAGACAGGGCTTGGCATCGCTCGGACGTGTGCATTTTTCCTTCGGCGAGGACCATCGAGGAGCATCCTTGATCATTCGGCGAAAAAAACGCGCACGAAATCAAAAAAAACACAGGGAATAGACGTCCGAGCGATGGCCAGAGGGGGAGGGGGGGCCGCACGCAGCAGCGAGGAGCACGGCCGCGGGGGCCCCAGGAGCGAGCCCGCCGCGCGAGCCCGACC